AAGCTTTAACAGCTCCGTACAGCTGTAGAAAACTGCAGAGTTTGTCACCTTTCACATTACACACAGTCATTTAATCTATTGCCATTTTAAAAATATTGATAAGTGCAGCATTGACTATTTTATATCTATATATGCTGAGTAGATTCACACACTGGGGCACTGTAATGGGTCAAACTAATGTTTTACCACTAATCTCATTTTATGTGCCCTCTGCTGCTCTTCATACTGAAAAATGAGCACAATTTATTGAGTGGAGTTTTACAATGAGCACAGCGGAGTTGCGGGTCAAACCCTTGAGCATGAGTGAATGCCTGGCAGTAATCTGGGGTCTGGGGAGAGCTGTTACTGTCCAAAACCAGGAGGAGGCCACGTGGAAAGGCCAGGACAGGACTAGGCTGCGACAGTCACAGCGACTAAGAGAGGAAGGTTAGCCGGCTGGAAGGAGTACAAGGAACAGGCTGAAATAATCAGGCCACAATGACAAATGAGCCCAGGGAGGCAGGGAGGAGGGAGGGAAATAGAGGGACGGCGGAAGAGGAGAACAGTTTTGGGGAAAAAAGCGAGAGAGAAACAAGAGCTTGTGATTCTGTTGGCTCGAGTTGGTCTGCAAAGTTTCAATGGCCTACATAAAGTTGGTGATAGAGATGTGCTGGCTGGCTGACTTGGCTGCATGACTCAATCACAAGACTCTCGCATGCTCCTCTGAGGGTTCCTGCAACAATGGTGCGAGTGAACGTTGCCTCTCCTCCCAGCTGCCTTCATCCAGTCGCCTTAAGATACAACACCTCCACTGGCCTGCTTTCACAAGGTGCACTTTCCATGACCTACAAAAAGTTTTTCTTTAAAAGTAGTGTGTGTGTGTGTGTGTGTGTGTGTGTGTGTGTGTGTGTGTGTGTGTGTGTGTGTGTGTGTGTGTGTGTGTGTGTGTGTGATGTGTAGGGCAGTTTCAGTAAAACACCAAGTCCTTTAAGGCTGCAATTCCAGGGCAAAATAATCTGTGGATTCAGAATGCTGTATTAGAGTGTTTGGAAATCATCCCATATTTTGCATTTTATGAGGATCATTTAAGCCCCCTCACAGGGCTTGTTATAACTGCTGACTGGGGGCAGAGAGGCTAATTTGTTCCACAGTCTCCCAAGGCCTTGTGCCATCCAGGCCTTAAATCAATATTTCTAATGGAGGCTGAACAAGGTCCATCCATCCTCACCACTCCTCTTGCTCACTTTCTGAATCTGATGAAGGCATGGACAGTAAGAGGAAAGCACCACATACCGCTCTACCAGATGACTCACCCATTTTGGTTTTGAAACCTTTAAAATCCGATCCCAAGGGACTGTTTTTAAAACTCTTTGACGACAGTAGCTACGACAACCCTAGCTACCCTCGCTGCTCTGTCTTCAACAGCACTGTGGCAGCGTCCATTTGGTCATGATTCACTGCTGCGTCTCCGGGCCCCCCAGGGAGAACGGTTGATGTTTTTTGAGAGTGATCTGTTGTGATGTAACGCTTGAGGCGAAACCTTGCTTTCATAATGAAGTACTATACTCCACAGACCAGGGGATCAAATTCATTGCTATGCCCTAATGCTGGTTCCTCTGTGCTTCTGGGTGGGAAAAGCTGACCCCTGCACTTTTGAGGTTTCAAACATATGCGAGGGAAAGACGAAGTTAGCGTCTTCTCATGTGTCACAAATCCTTACAAGGATTTGTGTGGATTTGGTGTGTGCAGCAGATGATAGTTAATTTTTCCTCCTCCAAGGTAATCCATTCAGTGTACCCTCGACTCCTACACATCATATCTGTGCAGCGAGGGAATGGTCGCAGCAATTACTGTGGGCTGCAAACTTGACATCCGCCCAGCTTAAGGCAGCCTTTACCGAGCTGATGGGATTCAGTGTGGGCTTTCACAAGGTTGCTTCCTAATGAATTTCCTCTGAAGCTACGGACGGAGCTGTTCACAGCAGAGCTCGGGATGTCTCAATGAGAGCAAAACCCCGCTTCGAGACAGAAAGTGCGTCTGTGTGTAGGTACGAGCTACAGGAAAACCTTACAAATCCTCTTAGTCTGCACATCTCTTTTTACAAAACAAATCAATGCCAAATACTTTCTTAACACTGTCTCGTGCACCCCTCCTCTATTCTTCTCTTCTGATTTCAAGAATCATTACGTCCTCTGACAGCTGTTTGGTGTGTTTTCCCGCATTCTCTCTTACTCACTAGTTGTCTCTTTGACTTCCTCCTGGCACTGTATCAATAAAAACACTCCTATAAAGCTTTATCAAAGCTGCCGTTTCTCGTGACTTGCATCTTTTTTTTTTTGTCTTTTTTTCATTTATTTTGAGAATAGGCAGTTCCCAAAAAACCCAAGCTGGTCTATCGCACATCCATTATTAATGTACTGAAGTGCCCAAATGTCACGCAGAAGATATCGTAATGCTCTATTTGAAAATCCTGTGGATACTGGCAACTGTCTGATCTACAGGGAATTGGTTAAACAGCATACCCACGCAGTGAACCAATAAGGTTCCTAGTATTTATACAGTAAAGGAAGACAATGGGAAGATGAAGTAGAGTTCTCATCAGTCCTGTCTCATTACTTCGCTGGTTGAGATGCCGTTTCAAGCAGCGGCAAAATGAAGGACACAGTTCATGAGCTGCATTCAGGTGCAACACATAACAATGCTGTCGCGCACAGACACTCACAAAGTGCCTTTGTAAACTGGGGCAGAAATAACAAACGTACCATAGACACAAGCTATAAATTGATTTCCTTTATGTCTCACTGTGTTCTCCTCTCTCCAGCTTGAAGAGAGAAAGCAAAACTTTCCTTGAATTATACATTTTTCTGCACATAGACAGCTCAGCACAGGAAGGCTTTAGTCTCTGCAGATGATCTTTTGAGCAGTCCTGTATGATTCCATTTACTGGATGAGGATGGAAGCAATCCAAACTGTATTTTCAGTCAGATTCTGACTGTAATTTTACACAAAGAGAGTACCAAAAATGGTACCCTCATTGTGCAAACTGTCACTCTCTCTGGTGGATTTGCATGGGACCAGTCTGGTGGTAGTTACATTACAAAACACAGACACAGCTGTCCAAGTTCGGGGGCCGGACATGCTAAACCAATGGACTCGTATACTAACAGCAGACACTATCACACAGCTGTTTTAACGTTGCATTTCTCTTGTCACACAATCTGATGACAATGGCGACAGCCTGTTGAGGATGTGCCTTTGCTTTCTGAAACCTGTCACTATGATGCTTTATTTGTTATGCAGATTTGACAGCTTCCCTATGCCTTTCAAGAGGGCCAGCCAAATACAAGCAGGCAGAGCATGATGAGGGAAGGGGACACTTACATCTTAAGGCCCTTAACTTCTACAGCGATAACTTCAGCAAAAAATATAAACCATTGAGGCACACTGAGAATTTCTATCATACAACGCTGATGATCATCTTTCCTTCTTTAAAGGACCAGTGTGTAGGATTCTAGCAGTGAAGTTGCAGATTGCAACTATCTGAACACCACTTGATTTTGTATTTGATGACCTGGGAATGAGAGCAGGCTGTGACGTGTAAGAGAAAATACTATGGTTGTGAAACTTGAACATCTTGGTCTCTGCACACACAGGGAATCTATGGAAAGTGTATGGTCTCAGACAGCATGAAAAAAAGCATGAGTAAAGGCTTGAGTGTTTCACATTCAGGTTTTTTCCTTAAAGTTAAAGTTGGATATTGCAAAGTCAATACTTTTGGAGAAGCTGAGAGCTGCACAGGTTTTTCCCGATTTCCTGGACATCATTGTAAAAGTAGCGTTACATAGAAAGTAAAGAGAAAAGTAGAACATTTTACATTTCTCCGGACTGGTTGCATTCAAACACACGCATACTGTAGTGAGACGCCACCGTACTTCCAGTACTTCCCCGGATTCGTGTATATGCTCCCAGTGAGACGGACAGTGAAGCCGGCTTAGAATAGCAGAGATCGGAGGTGTTGTGTAGTGAAGTGTGAAAACTTCTCATTCCCACGTAGAACGCAATGATGCAGTTTAGCATTTTTGCCACTAATGGGCATTTGAAATAGCGCTGGATGCAGAGTATGAGAGAGAGAGCAGAGCAGCACATGGAAAACTAGAACACAGAAGGCTCTGGCAGCCATTCACTCCTGCAGGGAATTATACTATAAAAAATACACAGGCCTACTACAGTACGCTCATTAAAAGGCCCTCAGTTTGTTCTAGCAGAGTGGCTTCTCTAGCAGGCAAAAATATCCTGTAGATTAAACTTAAATCATTCACAACCTGGTGAGGGAATGAGCCCAGGACACGACTTTGTCCTGGTTCATCTACTCACTATCTACACATAATCAATCCTTCATGGACCGTGTGAATAACAAAGTATTCTGGCGGCGATTGCTCAGCAGATAGGCACGTGCAATATCATTCTACCAATTACAGAGGAGTAAAGTGCTTTGTGTAATATGCCGTGAATGCCGTGCCAGGTCCCCAATTACATTTAGAAATGTGTCCCACTCGGAGATGAGCGTTGAATAATGAAAGCAGCCTCCATTCACCCACATATCAGACTCAGGGGAAGAGTAAGGTCATTTCAAACCGCAGTAATTATCAAATGTGTGCTTCATGGGCTCAGAGTCAAAATTAATATCCCAAAATATCTCCGCTCTGTTAATTGTTTCTTAAGTTAACAGTGTTTGTTAGTGGAGGATCATTTGTTTCGAGCCTTAATAAAACTAACAAAACTTTTTTCTTTTTTTTCCCCACTAAGTGCCAAATGCAGAAAGTAAAGTGCATGCAACACTAGAAACACAATATTCACAAAGAGTACATCTATTTTAGGGCTGCAACAGATTTCAGAGTGAGCATGCACTTGTCTATTGAGAATCTCTTAGGGAAATATACAAAATGCACAGACAGACAGAGCAGGCGACCAACACAGGCAGCGCAGACCACATTGAAAGTGTAAAAACATAGGATAGTCACCAGAGATTTACTAAAAAAACATGTTCAATTTCCTGTAGGATCTCAAGCTCTCTAAAGACGTTTCGGACCTCATCTCTCTCTATGCACTGCTGTTTGTTCATGTACTTCATGGCGTACATCTTCTCGGTGTCCCTCTTTTGCACAATGCATACCTGCAGCAAGCAAAGGGAGAGAAGGAGAGGGGGAGAGGAAAAAAGACAAAAGGAAGGATATTAGTATGAGATAAACATATATTTACAGTTTATGTACAAAATCTGTGTGTGCATTTACAAAACAACAAACATGGATAAATGAACACTCAGATCTCATTGCAAAATAGTTTTGGCAGGGAGAGACAATTACATCACTCCGAAGGTGTCGCAGCCAAGTTTCAGCTCCACAAATGCGGCCACGCTGCTCTGCAAATTGAATATGTTTTCAAAATAGCCCACAGCATCTTTCAGCTGTTGATTAATGCGACAGTTGAGATGGATACCGTACACCACGGTGCATAAAATGCTGACACGCTGAGTATCCTCTAATGAACTTCGTTTCCGAACGCAGAAGTTTGTGGCGGAAACCACTTCCAAACAAATCACCTCATTATTTATTCATCACGAGTTCTGCGGTTTTGTCAGGAAGTGGCTGTGAAAGGTCAGGGGCGGCAGGACGGGACTCCAGGGAGGTCAGAGTCATTACAGTAACATTACTGTCCAACCGCAGTCATTACACGGATCATGTGTCCTGCCTTGCAGACAAATAAGGAATTCAATTCTTAGAGATTTTTTGTCTATCTGTGACTCATTCTGATACTCCTGTGTGCTACCTTAAAGGACCAGTGAGTAGTTGCAGATTTCACTGGCTTTACCCTCCCTTTCCAAGAATGAAGGAGAAACTACGGTGGCCACGAAAAACATGAAAGGCCTTCTTTAGAGCTTTTGGTTTGTCTGTTCTGGGCTACTGTAGAAACATGGCGGTTCTATGTGGACTTCATGGCATCTGTGGATAAAAAGAGCTCATTCTAAGGTAACAGAAACGCAACAATTCTTAATGAAAACATATGAACATTATATTTCTGACAATAGATCCTCCTAAATGTTACTCACTGCAACTTTAAAACCAGATCATTTTGTGTTTTAATCACTGGAGGATGAACATAAAATGTATGGTTGCCCGATATGGGATTTAATATTTAGAGAGCAGAGATATAATGCTGATAGTAAAACAAAGACAGATCATGTATAATTCCATTAATCCAAACACATTATAATCTAATATACATGTTTATCTCAGCCAGTAACACATTGTTTTAGACTGAATTTCTATTCATTATGAAATAGAAGCTGGTATTTAAGGGAGAGTGGATGGTTAATACAGCAGAAGCAACATCATTGAACTGCATTAATCTCTACATTATAACATAATATATATTCCGCACTACCCAGTAATGGTTTTAGATTGGATTTGCTGTAATTTAGGATGGGAGATACTCGTTAACATAATATAATACTATAATTATAATATCAAGAGTCTGGCGATACAGGGGTTAGGATTCAATATACTGCGATACTGTAAGCATGGCGACATACTGGGATTTATTTTAACTTAATTTTAGGAAAAATGTCCACAATGTGCAGAAAATGTAAGCAAACGCTGTAACATCCAACATCAGCAGCTAAAGTCGATATAGTGTTTTTGAGAATTGATACAGTATCACAAAACGAAATGATAATGAGATTGGGCTCTTCATATAAAACTCCTATACATTGGGAGAGTTACTGGAGCTACAAAGGGATTTCTTTATACCCAGTATGGAGAGGAGGAATGAGTGCAGCAACCAATAACTCTCTCTCAACATTCAGTGAATATGGCATGTGTGCATTGTATTAAAATAGACTATCCTTTAATGTGGCTTTACAGCAGTCTCCAAAGGGTGGTAAGATCTAATTTGCATGACTGTTTAGCAGGGATGCCACCAACGCTCAACACTGTCAGTAAAATGCTTAAGTGGGCCAGAGGGAAAACACACATTTACTGTAGCTTCAAATGCAAAATGACAAACAAGATGCAGAAACGTGCTGTTAATCCTTCCATTTTTTTCAACTTGGTTTCCTCAATATCATGTAAACAAGAAGCCTGGTTTTCCTAACTGGGGAAAGGGATTAAGATAAAGTTGGTTAACTCAACTATGTTTATATTTATCTGGATTTTGAAGACTGCGTGTCCATGACAAAGACCTGAGACAGAAAGAGTGTGGTGGCAGTGCTGCAGGAAACATCCTTACTCAGCCTTGTAATACACTTAAAATATTCCAGCCTCGCCTCAGAGCTACGGCAGGGGGTCGAGGTGGAATCTGATTACCAGCCACCTGCATGTTAACGCATTCTCTGATTTTCCGCCTTAACTTTATTTCTCCCAATAACCTGGCTCCTTGTGTGCATGTAAACACAGCGGATGTGAAACCCTCAATAAAGACAGAGAATTCACATCATCGTTCACTGTCAGAGTACTTCAGGGACAAATCGTAAGCAGCTGCTTTGGCCCCATAAAGTGCCACCACCCCTCCACCAATACCCTGGGTGTAGCACCAGACCATCCTGTGAAGCATTAAAAGCTAAACGGCCCCCTGCTCTTTCTGTTATAGACAGAAGGCCTTAGCTGGACTGAATTGTCCACCAAGGCACAGGTCTCCTTCATTACAGTCTGAACCACACAGATGGCCGTTTTCCACAGCACTCTGGCCCTGATGCACTGCAAAAAAAACACCCATCTCGGCTACTCATTTTCTCATTTGTTCGGTCTTTAGGTCACAGAAAAAGGAGAAAGTTGTCGGCTATATTCAAATGCATCACAAATTAATGGGAAAACGCTCTGGGAACATAGATTATTACACACGAGTGGATTTTTTCACTGGGGGAACAAAGATTGTTAAGACTGAACACCAAAGTAAATGAGGTGTTAAAATAGACATTTTCCATGTGGTGACAGGAGGAAATCTATTACTGTGTAAAACATCATCTATTTAATTGTGCTCATGGATCCCCCTCTAGCACAGAGCTCGAGCGAGTGCCAGGTCTGAGTCGGCTCTCTCCTCTCTCCTCCGTCTGGATCTCCTCCAAGCCCAGATTCCCCCTACTTCTGTCACTTTCATTAACTCATTGCAGTTGAAATTCATCAAACGGGTTCCTCCTCCTTTGTAAAGTGTGGGATTATACTGAAGAAGAGAGCTTCTATGCAGTTTACGGTGATGTCTGCAGATTTACCGCTCTAAATTAGTGATAATTAGTCATTTTCAAAAACAATGATTAGACAAACCAAACTAAAAAGAAGCCTCTCATTTCTTGCCAGCGGCCGTCGATTTTACCAGATGAAGCAGCAACAGTGCTTAGAAGATTTTATCAGCTGTATCTAACTAGCTAATTAATCTAACGTTAGCTCTGTGAGTTGGTTGAAAATGTTTCCAGTTGGTTCGGAAACTAGGTGTCTTATATTCCAGATAAACACTAAAATATGTTCCTAAAAGGATTTGAGGAGAGAAATAGTCGACGCAGTAACAGAATCTGGATCCACATCTGATCAGCACTGCATAGTTTGACAGTTTGATCTGAGTTTGGTGCGTCAATCACAAGGTAGCCCCGCCCTAAAGCATACCCTGCTTTATGGTCGGTTTTACTCTAAATGAGACCATCAGTTACTAAATGAACATCATGCTGTATGGAAGAAGACTGAAACTAGAGACTGAGACCAGTAACTCATCAGGAAACTGTTTACTGAGCTCATAAAAGTTAAAAGTCGACTCATTTTTCCATAAGACTGCATGGTATCGTTTTTTTATTGCAACCAATTGAGCTGCCCCCTGCTGGCCGTTAGAAATAATGCAGTTTTAAGACACTTCCACGTTGGCTTTGATTGCTTTGATCAGTGGTTAAAAAAGTAAAGAGACAGCAGCGTTTTTATAAAAAAAACTAAATCCAATCAAGCTAGCTGTAAACTTACAAATGAATGTAATTAATGACTTTGGTTACTGTAGTTGGTAAGCTAGTTACAAGGACATGCTATTGATTGCAGCTTATACTAGCAGATAAAAACTGTTTAATCCATTCCTTACTGCACTCGCTACATTTATGAACAGTCATTATATTCTCGTGTAATATTTTAATCAGATTTCACCTAAATATCAATAAATCTGTTGAGGTATTGTTACACATATTCCAGCCATTATCAGTCAGTGCAGACGTTTAATGTCTGATGGTTTAAATACTGATCCAGAGGCCTTCTTTTATCCTTATAAATAAAAGATACGATCCTGAGGGGGAAAGACAAATGTTTTTCAATTTAAAAATGCCGAATATCAGCAGAAAATATTGCTCATTGCCAGTTTAAATCTTAAAATCCTGCTATTGGATTTCAAGTCTCCCTATCAGTTCAGCCAAACCCCATACCTCCTTTTTAGACTTTTTTTTTTTAGCCCTCAGCATGATAACATGCGGCTCCGGGCCCTCCCTTTTTCCATCTCCCTCGCTGAGCTTAACACAGACCCAGTTTCTCTTTGCTCTTAGCCAGGCCAGTCTGTACCATCTGCACTGTGCTGGAAGGTAGACTAAAAGAACTCCGTCAAACAAGAATCCGAGAGGTCAGCCAGATATTTTCATCCTCCTTTCACTGCTGAGACAAATAAGCGTCTTTCCCACATGCACTTTAACCCATTTATGTTCAAGCAATTTTCCATGTCTGCATCATCTGGGAACAAGAAACTGAGTCACATTTTAGAGACACTCTGGCATTTCACTGGCTCGGGACCTATTTAGGAAATCTCCTTTGTGGCTCTGTTGGGAGCAAAAGTTAAAAGTATTATCTAACAGAGCATGCCAAAGTCTCTAACAGACGACCAGCGAGCCAATCATAAGAGGCCTTGAACAAGTGTGAAACTGTCACGATGTGTGGGAACTAACTTTCCTATATGAGACCTACCAGTGACAGATGAAAACCAGAAACTTATCTGGAGAACTCAGTGGACATTTATTTTCTATTATAGGTCTAGAAACACAATTTTCTAAGAGATGTGATCTGTTAACTTGAAAGCACCACGGAGAAGAGCGTTTTAAAAAATGTTCCCTGCTCACAACTCCATTACTGAGTGAGCTGGCAAGAGAAATGTTCACTGCGGTGAATT